TACTTGTTTTTGTGATATGAATAAAGCTGTTACCATGAAAAATATGTAATTGGGATTATGTCTTCTCATGTATTCATCGAAAATTAGAAATACTAATTGAATTGAAGTACCTTTGGCAAAAAGTGTCATTATTAATGGTGTAACTACCATTGATAGATTAAAATCATCAAGTTTTAGAATACGATTATAGAAATCAGCACAATGATACTTTAACAATATTTCACAAAATTGAATAGCAGATAGAACATGAGCTAGTTACTTTTATCCTTTCAGAATCTTAAATATATATATATTTTATACATTCCATTCAAGAACTTTGGGAAAATACTTATTCATAAATGAATTAAAATAGGCATAGCATTTGTATATAGGAAAGTCTCTATTTTTCATGACTAAGAATGGAGCCACAACTTCAAGCATTCCTTATTAATAATTCACACTATTTTATTAACAATAAAATGTAGCAAGTAGCATAAGATATCGTTAAGTGGATTCCTTTTTAAAATAAGGGTCATCATTTCTTGTGCGTGTTAAATCTTTAATTAAGGTTTCCTTCTCTGGGATTTCAAGGTCTTATTAATTCCAGTCTCGAAATTTGTAAGCATCGGTGAGAAGATTTTCATTCATAAAGAACTCTTTCCAATTGAGAATGGCTTTATTTTATGTAATCATTAATAATTTCAATCATATTATTTAACATTTGGTAAATCCCATGGACCACGAATTGTACTAGAGATTTGATAATATACATATACTTTTTGTATTAATATAACCAAATGATTTGTAGAGGGGAAACAAAAGTAATGAAAAATACACTAAATATTAAAATAAAATTACCATCCAAAAAATAAAAGAGCTAAGAAATATGAAAAAAATAGTAATGATAATCCAAGTCCAATAGTTGAAATCAAATTGATAACTCTAAATACAGAGTTATATTTTTATTTAATGCTTCTTTATAATATAGGAACAAAAATGAATAATAAATTGGATGCAAATATCATCAAAAATACTTAGAGTTCATTATGTAATCTTGAAGCTAATAAACTAGAAAATACTAATGATGCCCATTATGAGACATCTAATTCTGTAAAATCTTTTTCATAATCATAATCCTTTAAAAATATATATATTAAGATTGCTACACTTGTAAGCACATATATAGTATTATCAGCATAAGTTTGATTAACTGTTTGCATTACAGGTGCAAATAATAATAAAATAGAGATATAAATTCCAATACTCTTAAAATTACTTAATATTTCTAAAGTCTTCATTTTTTTAACAACAGAAAACATAATTAAACAAGTGATTCCTGCAACTAGCCAAAAGTATAGTTATAATTAATCATTGACCATATCATGAAGCATTAAGAAATAACTTAAAAGATAGAATACAACACAATTGACTGCAAATATTAAATCTGATGTCTTGCTGATTAATTATTTATAATCAGGCCCATTATTAGTGTTGTCTTGTTTTTATACACTTTATAGAAATGTTTCATCAATATAATTATCATCATAAGGTTATTTTTCATATAATATTTTTTCCCATTTCTTTTGTTCTTATTCTTCTTAGATATAAGACTTAATATTAAATATATGTATATTACAGTCAATTAGTACTTGGGTCGTCTACAAATGAAACATTAAACATCATTTTCAGAGAATCGATATCCATCCCATGGACAGTATTTGAAATAATCCATAAAATTTAAAATAATACTCATTTTCTTGGTGGTGGTCTTTTTTGTTATTGAGTGGGTTTGGCAGAAGTTGGTTTTTATGATGGTTTAGGTTGTGGTTTTGATTAAGGTTTAGATTTATTTTTACGTCTTGGTTTATCTAGAGAATGTAAATAGTAAATTACCAGATTCAGATTCATCATCATCATCATCTTAATCACTAATATTATTGAGATCCAAAACATCAGATAAATCATCATCCTCATCTTCTTCATCATCACTTTCACCATCATCATCATCATCATCTTCAGTAAAATCAGAATCATCATCATCATCATCTCCATCTTCTTCCTAATAACATTAATTTTATTATGTACTGATTATTCAGGTGAAAATTCACTATCACCAGCTTCTGGATCATCATCTTCTCCTTCCTCTTCCTCACTCTCAGCCAAAATATTAGTCCAACCTCCATCTTAAACAAATCCTGGAATATCTTTTTAAATTTATGCAAGTACATTTTTCCAAACTAAATTTTATGCTACTTCAAAAAATAATAAATTCATCTATAATTAATAATTAAATAATACTCTATCTAACCAATTTTTAACACCTTCTAAATCTTTAATATCAATACTCTCTATTCTTAAAACCTATTTATCATAATTTTTAAAAACAAAAACTAAGTCAAAAGATTTAATTCCTGGAATTATACGTTCAAAACAACATATTTCAACTTCAGATAATGTCAAGATAAAGAATGGACTTTCAACAACATTCATTAAAGTATTATGAGTAGGTTATAAAAATAATCTAGCTCTATTCCAATTTCCTTCAAATCCAAGATCTCTAAATGGTTTTTCAAATTATATTTTATAATCTGCACCCATTTCCTCAATTGTTTTAATGAAAACTTCAAATTCTCTAGCCATCTTTTTTCTATGTACACGCAATCTCTCTTCCTCTTCTATTTCATCATCATCATTTCTATTATTTTTCCTTCTTCCTTCTAAATGTTCTACTGCTCCTCCAACTTCACAATAGAATTACACATCATGTGTCTTTCTCTTACCTAGAACTATAGGAGAATGAAGATGGAAATGTAAGGCAGCAATAATATCTTATTCTGGACTTTAATAAATGTAATGCTTAATATTCTTAAATACAATATCTAATTATTCTTTATTTTAATGAACATATCTAAATCCATTTTAATGTACTTCCAAAATACCTGCAGCTTTACCAGATCCAAAAGTAGGTCTCACTTTCAAATCTTTAAATATTGGTTTTCTTCCAGTTTTGCTTACCACTAAAGGTTCTAATTCACCAACATGTTATTTCTCTCTTTCCACTTATTATTCTGCCTTCACTTTTTTCTATAATTATTTTATCTACAATATTAAATTCTAAGGACGATCACTCTTTTTTGATCTATATTATAATTCTTTAATAAAAATAGTTTATCCATCTATTTATGGGAATTGAATCTATCCTGCAGTTGTCTCAGAAGTAAAGAAATTGATTCTTATAGATGCACCCATCTTTCCTTCATCAATCTTACTTACATTTTTAATGCAAGATACATGAAATGGTATATGAGTACCTAATAATGGTACCAACACAGCACATTTTTAATTATCAATATAAATCTATCCTTTTTACAACTCCTTTGGATATTGTTCTGGTTTTTAGTAACACTATAATTTTTCTAACTCTAATGCTTTAGTTTCTTAAGAATTCTATATAAATTATTCCTGTTCTAACCTTTACTCTAATTCAGTTTATTTATCCTTGGCTAACTTCTCTTAATGAATTTGTCTCTACTTCTCATTCTCCCTTTGTATTTAAATCTATTAATTACGTGGTCCTCTAGTTCTACCTTCTCTAGGAGCATCCGTTTATTTAGGTTATTACTTAGGAGCTTGTTATTCATCCTCTTCTTGCAATTAATATGATATTTATTTATAAGCCTTAGGAATTTAATTAGTTGTAACATTTGCTGCTCCATTTGTGACAACTATAACATCACCAACAGAAATTGTGTAGTTTATACCTTTTTATCCATTTGGCAGATTTTCCAAAGTTACTTAAACAAAATATACTTCATTCTTTGCTACAATATGTGTACTCTTTTCAGAAATTGCAAGAAAAGGCTCTTTTAATTCTAGACCTATGCCATATCCAAAAGAAGTGGGAAATTAAATATTTGCTATACTTAATTCTAAAGTTTTTTGTTCTAACATTAATAATGCATCCTTATAAACTTAATTTAATGGATTCCCAACTGTTAATAATCCTACTATTTTGCTCTAAACATCTAGTATTGTGTTATACAATTTTTTTTGAACTTCTGTAGGATTAATAAACAATGTTCTAATGCAATTAGTATTATATTCATTCACTTAAGTACCAAGTGAGATGATAATGACATCTGAAGAAAGATATTCTTTGTTGGGACTATCAACTTGCTGATAATTACCACCACTCTAAATTATTGGTGTATAAGCAAAATCATATAAGCCATCTTATAATCCAATATCTTTTATAACTTTTTGTTTGTCATTATCTAATGATTACTCTACTTTCTTAGCTAAATCTTAATGAGTTATGCGTGTTCCAACATCTATTGAATCTTCTATCTATTTTATGAGTTTCTTGAAAAGACGAGTTGTCAATTATGATGATTGATTTATGAAGGCTTATTCTTAATCATCCTTTACTGCAAGTATATCGCTTATGAATTAACTTGCATCCACAATTTGAGACCATCCTTTATAGTCATACCATTCTGTGGCTAAAGTACCTGCCTGTTGTTCTGTAGTAGGCATTCCTAGCTTGACATTCCCTAATTTCTAACGAATTTTATCAAAACTTTCCCGATTATCAGCAACTTTCTTATAGAAGTGTACTTCATATCTACCACCCAATCGTTGTTTAGTCTCCTCCATCATCTACACTATTAAAAAGTAAAAACAACATATTTACACTTCTTCTCACTTGCCAAATAGAAAATTTGTTTCTTTGTTGCTATGAACACGGTCTCAATCATATCGTATCCAAATAACCACACAAATAAAGCTTTAGTTTTTGGTTTGATTGAGCCATCCTCTTTTCCTGATAGAATGCACAGTGCTGGAATGTCCTATCTCCTAATTTATTAAAACATACTTCATTGAGACGACTGGCCAATTAATCTAAATGTCTTTGGAATACATCTGCTATTATCTTTTTATCCATTATTAAATTAATATATGTTAATAATTTTCTAATGTTGGTTTTGATATGCCTTTACTTAACTATACATTAATATTAATCAAATTATCAAACCCTTTCTTGATAATTTCTTTTGCAATAAAAAATGTTCAAAAAAACCACAAAAAAAATATATAAAAAACCCCCGCGAAAATTTAAAGTATTATTCNACAATATGTGTACTCTTTTCAGAAATTGCAAGAAAAGGCTCTTTTAATTCTAGACCTATGCCATATCCAAAAGAAGTGGGAAATTAAATATTTGCTATACTTAATTCTAAAGTTTTTTGTTCTAACATTAATAATGCATCCTTATAAACTTAATTTAATGGATTCCCAACTGTTAATAATCCTACTATTTTGCTCTAAACATCTAGTATTGTGTTATACAATTTTTTTTGAACTTCTGTAGGATTAATAAACAATGTTCTAATGCAATTAGTATTATATTCATTCACTTAAGTACCAAGTGAGATGATAATGACATCTGAAGAAAGATATTCTTTGTTGGGACTATCAACTTGCTGATAATTACCACCACTCTAAATTATTGGTGTATAAGCAAAATCATATAAGCCATCTTATAATCCAATATCTTTTATAACTTTTTGTTTGTCATTATCTAATGATTACTCTACTTTCTTAGCTAAATCTTAATGAGTTATGCGTGTTCCAACATCTATTGAATCTTCTATCTATTTTATGAGTTTCTTGAAAAGACGAGTTGTCAATTATGATGATTGATTTATGAAGGCTTATTCTTAATCATCCTTTACTGCAAGTATATCGCTTATGAATTAACTTGCATCCACAATTTGAGACCATCCTTTATAGTCATACCATTCTGTGGCTAAAGTACCTGCCTGTTGTTCTGTAGTAGGCATTCCTAGCTTGACATTCCCTAATTTCTAACGAATTTTATCAAAACTTTCCCGATTATCAGCAACTTTCTTATAGAAGTGTACTTCATATCTACCACCCAATCGTTGTTTAGTCTCCTCCATCATCTACACTATTAAAAAGTAAAAACAACATATTTACACTTCTTCTCACTTGCCAAATAGAAAATTTGTTTCTTTGTTGCTATGAACACGGTCTCAATCATATCGTATCCAAATAACCACACAAATAAAGCTTTAGTTTTTGGTTTGATTGAGCCATCCTCTTTTCCTGATAGAATGCACAGTGCTGGAATGTCCTATCTCCTAATTTATTAAAACATACTTCATTGAGACGACTGGCCAATTAATCTAAATGTCTTTGGAATACATCTGCTATTATCTTTTTATCCATTATTAAATTAATATATGTTAATAATTTTCTAATGTTGGTTTTGATATGCCTTTACTTAACTATACATTAATATTAATCAAATTATCAAACCCTTTCTTGATAATTTCTTTTGCAATAAAAAATGTTCAAAAAAACCACAAAAAAAATATATAAAAAACCCCCGCGAAAATTTAAAGTATTATTCTATATAACACATATCTACCCCCATGAGAAAGATCATTCTATATAATATTTCATTCTGCTATCAATCTCAATCTATATCGGTATCAATCAGATCCCGAGGTGTAATTTAATTTATAATAAATCTAAATTTGATTTATTATAACAATAATTAATATGAAAATCAAAGTAGTTCATAATAACGAGATCCATCTCTTGAAATTACAAAACCCAACTCTCTAAGGAATAAGAGAACACATCTAAAAAATATATCCCAACATTGATTCTAACTTCACACTAGCTTACAATGACTCAGAAAATGATTAAATAACTTTAAGTTGTTAAGAAGATCTATAGGTTCTTGTTGATGAAGGAATATAAACCATAAAGATTTTTGTGGTAATTTCCTAAATACCAAAACCAGTTCCTTAAGAAAAAATGGTTCATAAACATCATACATGTGATGGATGTTAAATTCATCCAATCGTTGGATCAAGATTCAAATGTCTTGAATGTTAAGATTATGATTTATGTGAAGAATGTCAACTCAAAAATCTTCATAATCATCATAAGTTCTATAAGATAAGTACAGAATAAGAATTAGAATAATTCAGAAAAGAACATTAGGGTAAATTTGGACATTGGGGATTTAGACCTCATGGACAAGGCCATCATGGACATGGACCACATGGACATGGACCACATGGTCATGGATTTCATGGACATGAAGCTTTTAAACAATTTCGAGAATTGTTCTAAGATCCTGCATTTAAAGATGTTAAACAAACTTTTTGTTCTATAGCTAAAGATGTCTTTAGTGCCGTTAAGACTGAGATTGAGAAACATAAGAGCTCTTAATAGTAATAATAATAAGAGAAACCTTAAGAAGAATGTAATTTAGATGAAAAATTAGAAACTTAATAAGAAAAATAATAAGAAACTTAATAAGAAAATACTAATTAATAAACTGATTGTAAAGTATAAGAAGAAATTGAATAGAAAATTAAGAACTTGATTTAAATTTTGTAGTGTGATGAGAAAATAGCAAGAGAGTATGTTGAATGCTTTAAGGATTTATCATTGGATGGAATCGTTGAAATCATATTAGATAAATAATGATTATTATAATTTAATTATTAATATTCAAATAATTACGTTACTTATATCTATTCGATATTTAAATTTATGGATAATTATTTAATAGATTTATAATGAATTAAGAATAAAAATAACAATTTTGTACTATTATAACTCTAATTTTTGTTTTATAATTTTAATAAATTGAATCTAATGAATCTAACTTATAAATCAAGTAATTGGTGTAAACAAGATATCATGAAATTATAAACTATATTTTCAAAATTAGAAACATATAGATAAATATTAAGAATGTCTTAATTAGGAGATATAAATATCTAGTATAAATTAAAATTTTGATAAAAAATAGCTATGAATATATTATTAAAAATATAATACTATATTATTGTGAATATATGTATTTTTAGTAGTGATTAGGGTAATATTTTTATCATAAATAAAATACTGCAAAATGAAACTTATGATTTAAATAATTCATTTTATTTGTTATAAAAACAATAGTTTAAATCAATTTGATTAAGATTAATTGAATGAATCGATTGAATACAAAAACTACAAAGTAATTAATAGATTCAATCACATTAGACATTCAATTTAAGAATAAAAAAATATAATTTAATTTACAATAATGAATTTTGATTAAAAATAAGATTATAATAGAGAAATCATTGTTTAGTTAAGTATAGAAAAGTCTGAACAATTAGGTTATAAAATTTCTTATTCTGATGGAATGATAGAATCTTTCATTAATATTTCAATGTAATAACATCTAATATATGAGGTTTCTATTCTATAGTTAATAATAATTGAAGTTGATAACCATAATTAAGTCTTATGTCATTATACATTATAATTAAAATAAACAATCTTAGAAGAATAGATATAAAAAGAATAATAATTTAATTATAGACTATGAAGAAATATGCTATTTATTTTAGATTAATCGTATCGAGAATATTTGATTTAACTAATAATTGAAATAGAATAATAGTCCTTTTTGGAATTAAGATTTAAAGGAAGCAGAATGAGAAACAGTTAAAACAAAGAAATAGGTTAGAATGGAAATAGTGAATAGATGTATAAACTAATTGGAAAATGAGTTATTTTTAAATTATTGAAATAATTATATAATGAACGATTCGAAAGGACCTAAAATAATGAGTTCTCACTCATTCAATAGTATTAAGAATGAAGAGCCTAAGAAGGCAGAAGTGATTGATGAACAATCATTATAGACAACCTAAAAGAGGGGATAGCCAAAAATCAATATTAGTCGTTTGCCTCCAGCATTTGCAAATAAAAAGTATTAAAAATGGTGTAATTCAGGCCACAAAAGAAATAGATAGAACCATTAGCGTAGAAGAAGGAGTAGAAACAATAAGTACAACAGAATCTACAGAACATAGAAGCAATACAAGAGTACAAGTAGGTGAGCCAAATGTTAAGTCCCTTGAAGGCATTAATTATAAATCAAACTCTAGCGCGAACACAATTAGCAATCAAAGAATCCATTAGCACCATTTCGTTAGTTCATGAAAGACCAAAAGAAAATACATGAAGAATTAGGCCTTAGCATTAGTACTCTTGTCCAAGGTTAAATGCGTATAGAAGACATGATTACAACTGGCACATTGCGATGTTAATATTAATTAAATCTTAATAGCTTATGGTGATTAGAGTCCTGTTAAGAAAATGTTGCATGCTCCAACAATGAAACTTTATGTTGTAAAAGAAGTAATTCTCAGCATTGACATTTAGGAACCATTGCACAACAAGGAAATTCGTAAAAACTTAAAAGACTGGATATCTTTTTGGCAGAACAAATTTGCCAATTCAAATTTACATGTTTAAGTATATGCTACATTTTGGAATACACCTGAAGGTTATGTGTCTATAGTTATGGAATACATGAATGGTGGTTCATTATAAGTGAATATTAATTCTCATTTTTAGAATCTTCTTGAAAGTATGGGTTTTCTCCCAGAAAGAAGTATCAAATAGCTTGTACCACCTATTCTCTAAGGATTACAAAAAATTCATTAATAAGGAGCATAATGTCATGGTGCACTTGGACCATCATAAATACTATTCCTACGAGATGGCACTGTTAAATTAGGTCAAGGTTTGCAATATAGAGTTCAAGTTCAAGGAAATTAATTATTTAATTCTTATATCCTTGGTAAACCTAAAGATGTTTAAAGGTATTTTATTTAATTAAATAGTCTTTATGATCCAACTATTCTAGAAACACCTTCACTTTGGAGCAAAGCTTCAAGTGAAAAAGTTCATTTCCCTGCTTAAGAGGATTTCATTTTAGAAAGAGCAAATGATATTTGGAAATTAGGTTGGCTTGTTTTAAATTGTGCTATTGGAACTCTTGAATTTCATCCTAAAGCTTAATAAATCTATGAAGGCTCAAGAATAATTATTGAAGAAATTGCAAAATATACAGATCATCTTAAAGATACATGTTGTCTTCTCCATAGTGAAGCTAAAGTCATTTCATTAGTTGAATAAAATCAAAAGACTGTATCTGAACCTACCAAAATAACAATACTAGAATTACTTCCTTCTGATAAATTTAGTCCAGAATTTATTTAATTTTTATGTTCAACACTTAAAATAGATCCAAGACAAAGGATATATACTGAATAATTATTGTAACATCCATGGCTAGTAAGTGGTAGAGATCCAAAAGGTAGGCTCTCATTTTATTCTAATAGGACCCAATGTACAACTTAAAGAGCTTCTTAATATATCAAATGCTTGGAATGCATTTCTACCAGAAGAATTTTAAGGATAAGGAGCCTAAAAATTGGAAAGACTTTGTGATGCTCTATATTTGGTCTTGCAAAATTCAGAAAGACCAACTGTCAATAAGTATTCATAAATTTTTCATTATCTAGGATGTAATTACAAGAAAACAGTCCTATTATTAAAGAACTATCTTATGATATGGGTCTAAATGCCAAAGCTGTAAGTGATCGAATTATGTCAATTTTCCAATCCTTAATCTGATCTGGCATTGCACTATTATCTATATATTTCTAATTATTTAGCGTTATTATAATAATAATATTTTAATCAAGGATTCTACTGATTCATCTTTATTTCATTTTTTAACTTATTATTTTAATATTTTAAAAAAAGTTTATTTTATTCAAAAAAAAGATAAAATAAAAAAATAATATCATTCCTCATCTAGTCTCCATCCCTTTTAAAAATGATATGACAATTCAATCATTTATTTTATAATAAAATATAAATAAAATCATATGTAATTGTAAAAATAAATTAATCTAATTATAATGATTATAAGAATTAGTAATATTTTAATTATGTAAATATATTTTTAATTTCTTCGAATATTGATTCAAATAGTTATGTTCCTTGTCTTTTTCCTGTAATTAATTCAAAAATCATCTAAGTAGATAAAAATTGTGATTAAATTTATTTTCATTATTTTACTTTTATGAAATAAGTGATTAATTTTTAAAACCTTTGAAACTTTATTAAAACTAAATTCTCAACTTATAATTTTGATCATTCAAAATTATCCTTAGATATTTTATTAATTATTTATAAACATTTATATTATAAATCAAGAAATTAAAAAGTCTGAATTTCATACATAGTGATATTTTATATCTTATGATAATTATTAGTACATGAAAATAAATCAGTCCAATATTAATTAAATCAAGATATCATAAATATACATGAGTTCTAAGTTTTCAGTTAAGTGTAATAAAGATCATAACAAAACATTTGATGATCTTATAAAACCAATCCTATTTGAATATCCAATAAGAAGAAAATCTTGTTATTGTTAACAATGTGGAAATCTAGGCTAATTTCAATAGCAAAATTCAAATTTACCCACATCAAAAGAAATATAATTTAGTAAATAGGAGGGAATCAAAAGAAAGTTAAGTTTTGGCGATGATATTCAAACTGATTTTCCTAGTGAATTTAGTTAAATAGAAAGCGAAAATGGAATACGAATTAGGCAAAATGATAAGTCATTTTCAATATCAATTAAATGCTTAGAAGGATCCTTAAAATTTGAAAGCATTTATCTACAAAATACTAATAAAACAAAGAGAAAAAGTTGTGAATGTAGTGAATGTGGAAAACTTAATGCATTTTAAATAAAGAATCAAGAAATATCGATTCCTTAAAAAGATAGATAGATCAAGTAGTTTTAAATTAAAGGGTAACCGAAATTCTTGTAATATGGATCAACAGAGTTTTAGATATTAAACAAGAAAATTGTTTAAAGGACAATAATGAATTCACCTAGAAGTTAAAGATCCATTTAATTGAAATAAATTAATGAAATGAGAAGAACTAAAGATGTTAAGACATTAGTAAACAATCGTATATCCACAAGAGATTTAGAACTACATCCAAAATAAATTTAAAGCAAATTTTCAATAATTAATTCCTGTCGTTAATTAGATTCTCAGAACATTCCACAAGGCAAATCTCAAATATAAAATACCAATAAGCCTATTATATCTTTTTATCATATAAAATGAAAGATTTAATGATTTATCATTATCAAACGACATCATTTTATATTATCAACACAAATTATTATGTTTACCTTTCTGGTTATAATATAACAAATTTTTGTATTAAATATATTAATAATAAAATTATTTATATAAAATTCATTAAGTTTGTAGTGTGCCTTTAACTTAAGTAATTCTTTCAAATTGCTTATGATTTTCAACTTTAATTTTATTATAGTTTTCTTCTCTAAGAGATTTTGTAGACAATCGTATAGGAGCATCACTTAAATTGAATAATTTATATTACATAAACTTGACTTGCTTTCTCTTTTCTATTTCTTATAGTTTCTTTGATAATATTAGATTTGAAGCTGTGATTCTTGAAAGTACTTCCTTTTATTTGAAATTCTGACTATTTTAAACTTTTTTATTTGCGTCCTTTTCTTGATTAGGAAGTTATATTTTTACATCTTTATATAATTTCTTCAACCTGATCAGGGAATTTGTAATTTCTATGTTCAATTCGTTCAACAGACCTTTTATGTTTGGCATATTATTATTCCCATTATCTAGTTTAGAATTAATTGTTATTCATAAATTAATAATAATCGAATTGTTATGAGATAGATTTCACTAATTTTCAATTTATTAACAATAAATAATATAAATTAATGAATTCCAACAATAATTATAACAATGACAGTTCGAGTGAAGATGATCTATAAGTGTATGAGACACTCACCAAAATAGCCCCAGCTAATGAATTATTGCCTCGTAAATTAACTATTGATATTGATGTAAAATCATTATATCCTCTCAAGTAATTAATTGTTTGAACTTTTAAGACCACTCCCCAAATTTTGTAAGACTTACACAACATTTTTTGAAGAATCCTCATAACGAGAATGCTTGATTCCTGACATTTAAGTGTCTGATGAGAATAGGACACTCCTTGATTATTACGAAGAAAATAAGCAAAATCTAGTATACAAACGATTCGATCAGTTGGATTTAGGCAAAAGGACTTCAAATGACAGAACATATTTTGCAAGTCTCTTAGCCAATTTTAAGAGGTATGGACGATTCTAAATGAAGAACATAACCAAGAGTCTTCTTCAGAGGAGAAGCACTTTTTGATTAAAAATTAACACCCTGTACTTCAGAGTAAATATAATTTGATTCCAATTTTGAATCAGGCAATTTATTTTGTGCATTCAAAAAAGCAGAAAATATTTATGATCTCGTAATTCAAAATGATATTAATACAAGAGGCAATACATAATGGTTCTTTTTTAGCGTAACAGGAGCCAAAGCTGGTTAAACAATTTAATTTAATATCCTCAATCATGTATTATTTATCAGTAATTAATTATTAGCTTAAAACAGGTAGTCTTTTTAATGAAGGCTTATAACCAGCTGTCTATTCTGTAAAAGAGAATTAATTAGTAGGCACTGAATGGTGTAGAGATGGATTTAACATAAGCTATTTCAAAAGTATATTTATGAAAGAATATCCTCTGTCATTGAAGAAGAAATATTATCAATTAAGATTTCATTATACATTTAAACATGAAGGAGACAAAGTTTATTTTGCTCATTCTTATCCTTATACTTATACAAATCTGTTGGAATTTTTGAATACCTAATTAGAAGATCAAGAAAGAAATTAGTAATATTATAATTAAATTTTTTAGATACTTATCTCGAAAAGTATTGTGTACAACTCTTGGTGGAAATACTTGTGAAGTCCTTACTATCACTTCGAATTCGTTGTAGAAGAGGGCATTTCGAAAAGGAGTAGTGTTTTTAGCTAGATAACATCCTGGAGAACCTCAAGGATCCTATGTTATGCAAGGCATAATAGAATTTTTAACATCTAATAATCCTTAAGCAGAATATTTAAGGTAGAATTGCATTTTCAAAATATTCCCAATGATGAATTCTGATGGTGTAGTTAATGGAAATTATAGATGTGGTCTTGAAGGGAGTGACTTAAATAGAAGATGGAAAAAGCCAAACAAATATTTACATCCCAGTGTTTATTATGC